GGACAAGGAAGTCCAGATACAAGTGGATGAGGGGAAAGGCAGATCCCAGACACCGCGAGGCCACGTGTTTAACGACGTAGGGAAAGGGCACCTGGGTGGCTCAGTCAGTTAAGCGTCTGCCATCAGCTCAGGTCATGATCTCAGGATCCTGGGATCGAGTCCCACATTGGGCTCCCTGTGTGGTGGGGAGTTTGCTTCTCCCTGTCCCTGTGCCCCTCCCCACAGCTTGTGCTTTCTCTTTCTCCTCTCTCTCTCTCAAATAAATAAAATCTTTTTTAAAAAATGATGTAAGAAAATCATTATGGTTTGAAGCCAGACGCCAATAAGGAATTCTTGAGACGTTTGGTGCAAAAAGGTGGTTTTATTAGCATAGGGACAGGACCCATGGGCAGAAGAGTTGTACCGGGGTCATGAGGAGTGGCCCATTATATACTTTCAAGTTGGGAGGGGTTAGGGATAGAGTAAGTCTCTAAGGAATCTTGGACGCAAGGTTTCCAGGATCCTGAGGGGCCTAGCTGTTGTTGGGAAAGGTCGTTTATTACTATCTAATAAAACCTGAGTCATGAGACCCTTCAGATGTATATCAGTGGGTCACATGCTTGGGAGATGATTGCCAACATGTATCTTGGGGGGTAGAGATAAAGTTTCGAAAGGAATTTCTTTTTTTTTTTTTTAAGGTTTTATTTATTTGACAGAGAGAGACACAGCGAGAGAGGGAGCACAAGCAGGGGGCGTGGGAGAGGGAGAAGCAGGCTTCCCGCCGAGCAGGGAGCCCGATGCGGGGCTCAATCCCAGGACCCTGGGACCATAACCTGAGCCGAAGACATATGCTTAACGACTGAGCCACCCAGGAATCCCTCCAAAGGAATTTCTACATGTTAAAGTAGACTTACAGGATCCTGGGGGTCAGCCTAAGACTGCCTTTTGCCCTTAGCAAAGTACCAACATTGAGGCAGCTGAGTTCCTAGAGGAATGTCACTCTGCCTGTTTCAAGGACTTGTCGATGGGCTGTAACGGGCTGTAGGTAGTAGGAAATTTAATAATTTTTCTTCTGCCTTTGTTTCCCACATCATTTAACAGTGTTAACAGAGTTGGGAAGTCAGGGAAGCTATCTCAGCCCACCCACTCCTCACCTAAGAGCCTAGGGAAACCCGTCTCTGTTACACATGACCAAAAGAACAGAGTAGCAGTTGAATCCCACGCAGACTTCCGGAGAGAAAAGCATAGTAACATCCCTCCAAAGAGCCATGGCAGAAAGCCACGCCCAGAAACATAAAAACCGTAACCGCCTTTTATCAAAGCTAAACAGGAAATGGTCCAGTTAGGAAAGAAATGGATGCACCAGAGGTATGGCAAGGCTGGGAGGCTGGGGGTGTCAGGGGCCCGGCCTCTCTCTAGACCCAGGTTGAAGTGGCCAGAACTCCAGTCCCCCAGGCCAGGGTCCTTGGCAGCTCCTGGCTGACCCTGAACGCCAGGTCCAACAGCCCTGACCCCCAAATCCTGAGATGAGCAGGGAAATGCCAGCTCTACGATCTGCTCAAGAAACTTTTCCTCTCTTTGCCTTTGATCCTGTCGGCTGCCTTTTGTTGTCCTCCCCCAACCCACTCCAGCTTAGCAGCCTCTGAGAGCAGGAGGTCTTCCCAAGGGCCAGCACTGAGGAAGCCCGAAGCCTGAATGGCCTCCCAGCGCAGGAGGACCTGGGCTCACCCTCAGGGACCAGGGGAACAAGCAGTTGCCGCAGGCTGTGGGGACGGGTCTGGGCGGGCAGGTCGGCATCCCACAGTCACTGCTGGGGCCCCAGGGCCGGCCACACGGGGCGTTCAGCATGAGTTCGCAGAATGATGGTGGATCATTCCTGTTGGCAGTGCAAGGAATACAGGCTGTGAGTGAGCTTTGGGGAGTGAGCAGGGAATGAGCTCTGTTTTGTACACAGAAGCCATCATAATGAGAATTTCAAGAAAGGCCACGTCTAGATTTTGCGTAGGGTTAGGCTGGGGATGTGGCTCTGGGGGTCTCGGCCCAGAGGTTACTTCCAGTGGTGGCACGGACACTAATAACAACAGCTGAGTTGCACTCATCTCTACCTGCCTGACCTCACCTAAGCTTTGCAACAAGCCTGTGAATTCGGTTCCATTACTGTTACTGTTTCACGGGTGAAGAAACAGGCTTTCAAAGGCCGCATGGCTCTTCAAAGGCAGAGCTGGGCTGACAGCCCCGGAAACCCTTCAGTGTTTCAGGATCAGACCAGTGGTTTCTGTTCCACGTCAGAAAATTGTAGCTGAAGTATCTTCGGGCACCAAGGAGAAAGGCAAAGTCTCGACCAACAACTGAGGCATCTAGACCCCAGTTGCAGGGCACAGGGAGGCCATGAAGATGCTCCGGGGCCACACAGAGCCGAGACCATGATGAGAAGAGAAAGTGGGAGAGAAGGGGGCAGGAGAGGGAGGCTCCTCCAGGAGGTGGTAGGGATGGAGAAGGTCCACTGGACAGGTACACGGTCAGTCTTTCAGGTGGACTGGGTGGGCTCGGTGGGCTAAAAGCCTGGGCATCCCCAGCACCCCTGGGAGAATGGTGGTCCACGGGAGGAAGGAGCAGCTTCTGAGGATGACAGTGAGCTCAGAAGCAGAAGTACTCGGCCTGGGTATCAGCTCCAGGGCATCTCCCAAGCCCAGGCTCACCTACTGGACCATGCTGGGGCAGGGCTGCTCAGCTCTACCTCTGCAAACCCAAAGCTGGACTCAAGTCCTTCAAGAAGCCCCTGGAATGAAACCCTATGGAGCAAAAAGGCTACAAGTCCATGCTGACCAGCCCTGCAGAGCAGCTGATGGGACAGGCTTGTGGCTCTAGCTGGTCTGAGCACAAGCCCACAAAGGGACCCCAAACCTGGTGGGGGGCCAGGGGAGGGGAAGAAAGAGGTATCAGGCCTCACAGAACCTCACAGTGGCTCCAGTCCTGGAACTCAGCTGCACCCAGGAGCCGACACACCCAGGTTCCTCAGACCAGGGCTGCCAAGGGCTCCCACTTCTACCCTGTGGAGGACACCCACGTGCACGACAGGTCAAGAGGGGTTGCAACAGGCATAGGGCCCCTAGGAAGCCAGAGTGAAGAACCCCTCCCGCTTCTGCTGTGCTGTCTAGACAGACTGCCGCGCCCCACCCCCTCCAAAGGGATGAGTCACTCCTCAGAGCCTGGCCCGCCCCAGCTGTTTTTGATCCTCAGGGTCACAGCCAGCTCCAGGATCTCAAGGACAGCCAAGGAGGGGGAGGGCTTTTGGGAGGGTGGGTGGTGGTCGAGTGCACACCCCACAGGGGCCAGGGATCCGCCCTCCCTAGCTCTAGCACTGCACGGTGAGGCCTAGGCTGGGGAGGGGACCCTCCTAGAGCTGCCTAATTACCGCATGTCACAGCTCAACTGGGTCACCCAGGAGACTGGGCTATTTCTAACTGCAGCAAATGCCGTCCCCACAGCCCCTACCCAACACAGCAGGCCCAGGAAAAGATGCTTTCTCAAGGTCTGAGGGTGGACAGAACTCTGCCTGAAACAGGGAAAAAGGGGCCCACTTCGCCCCCCCGCCCGCCACCCTGTGCTCTTCCCTCCCCTCTCCCCAGTAAGCACACAAGACGGTGGTTTTGGTCTAAAATGATGGACATTTAGACATTGACGCCAGGCTCCTGCCTGACCAGCGCCATGCCGGGGCAGGCCAAGCAAAGACAGAGAGGTAGGGAGCGGGCACTGTGGGGGCACCAGCCAGGACCTGGGGTCGCTGGTGGCTGCCGGGAGGTGGGGTGGGGAGGAGTTAGCCACAGGGACTCCACAAGTGCCAGGTCCAGGATGGTCAGTCAGGGACTCACGGAGAGCCGAGTGCGCCTTACCCCTCCTGGTGATGCCAGGTCCCCGGCTCAGGAAGCAACCTTGGCCAGGGTGCTCAGGTCTTCCCAGGAAGGGACAAAGCCAGCCTTCAGTCCAGTGGGTAGCCGCATCACCAGCCAGATCCTGGGCTCCCGGCTGCCAACGCGAGTAAGGGGTGGGATGGTGCTGTCCATCGTGCTGTGGTTGAGGCTTGGGATCCAGACCACAGCGGCAAGGTGTGCTGGGCAACGCTGGCCTCAATCCTTCTGCTCTCTGGATACAACACTGTCGTCTGAGACGAGCCCTCTCCTCCCAGCCACTTGCCTGCACTCACCATGAAAAGCCCTCATCAGAAGCAGCACCCACAAAAGAAAATGAAAGGCAGCCCTGGATAACTGCCAGCTTCCCCCAACATCAGGGGACACTCGGCCCGGGACGCGACGATCAGAGGCTGGGTCCACCCGCCAGGCCACATCATGGTTCGCAGCATGTCAGACACCCCAGTAGGGAAACAACACCAGACGCTGCTTACCCACACTTGAGGCTCCTGCAAAGCTTGAAGGGGGGTTTCCCAGGAGGCTCTGGCCGGAAGCACACACAAGCCAGCCAGTGCCAGGGCCACAGACCCCCTCGGATGGCACTGGACAGGTGGTTGGCTCCCGCAGTGGGCCCGAGACACTAAGGCACGACGCTAATCTAAGCCCACTGGGGTGAGGTGGGGAGAGGACAGGCTCCAAGGGGCCTCCTCGACTCGGCAAAGCACACAGTGACCAAGCAATGATGACAGCCTGTTTTTTCCAACTCGGCACAGGCTGGAGGCGGAGGGTGATGGACTCAGGGATGCCAGTGGCTCTTGCTAGAAGGGGCTGTATGTCCTGGCGGCCCCTGTAAAGGCCTCTGGAAAGCAGGGAGAGCCCTGGACGAGGCTGGCACCGCTGCGCAGGCCCAAGGGTCAGTCCCGAGCTGGAGTCTGGGAGGCGGATGCCGGGCTAGGAAGGTCGCGCAGTGACTCCAAGGCCCTGGCGGGCCGGGGCCCTACCGGTCTCCAGCAGGCCCTGCGTGGAGATCCTAAGGAGGGAGCAGGAGCAAGGAGTGGGGAGCGGGCGCCAATCTCGGGCAGGCAGAGCCCCGGTGGGCCGCCGCCTGGTGCTTCAGGGCTGCCTGCGCAGGCCCGGGCGCCCGAAAGCCGGGTGCATGAGGTTCTCGGTGATGTAGGCCACGAGCAGGCAGATGACCACCAGCATGACGCAGATGGAGCCGCCCACCGCCGTCATGGCCACCACGATCTCCCGCATGCCGGCGGGCTCGGCAGCGAACTCCACGCACTCGGCGGGCCCGGCGGGCTCCGGGGCGGCGGCGCCGGCGGCGGGCTCGGCGCGCAGCGGCAGCGGCTGCAGGCACAGGCGGTAGCGCACGCCGTCGTGCACGTCGGGCAGCAGGTAGTCGCGGCAGGAGGCGCCGAGCAGCACGCGCTCGCACGGGAAGCGCGTGTAGGCGCCGCGCCACGAGCAGTTGAGCGCGAAGGCGCGCACGCGGCGCGCCTCGGCCGGCGCCAGGCGCCACTGCAGCAACACGCTGCGGTTGCGCAGGACGCTGGCGCGCAGCGAGCGGCCGGCAGAGGCGTGCGCCGCGCAGCCGGGCGCCTGGCAGCGGAAGCCGCGCGCGGGGCTGCGGAAGCACAGGCGCCCGCCGCCCGCCTCGGGGCCCTCGGGCAGCACCTTGTAGGGGCACCAGGGCGCGTCGGCCGCCGGCTCCCAGCCCGGCGGCGTCGGGGCGGCGGCGCAGGCGGCCAGCAGCAGCAGCAGCAGCGGCGGGGCGCGCATCCTGCGGCTGGGCGGCGCGGCGGGGCGCGGGCTCGCGGG